TATCACCAACAGCACAATCAAAGTGGGCCATTTACTGCTGCAACTTGGTGCTGATCGACTTTGTTCCAAACGTTCACTTTTGAGAGACCATCTACGCTGAGATCTGCTAGTGAAACACATCGATGTGCCTGACTGACAATATCGTCACCTCGATTTCAGTTCGCACTTCTTAGCCAAGTACAACTGTAATTTGCTCGCAGTAGTCAAACTTTGCTTGTTGCAATCGTCTCTATCAAATCGACAGCCATGTACCTCGCATCGACCCGCACATAGAAAGCTATTTCAACCATGACCAGCAAAGCATCAAAGAATTTCACCTTTTGTATCCTGACTGCATATACCTCCTACCTGTTTGGTGGTTTTTTGAAATTTGGTCCAAATGATATCGGTATCGATAAATAATATAAACAATACTTACCGATATGTCTTGAATCCGCAATGCCGACAATTTGATGATAACTATGAACAATCCAATCTAAACTTTTGTAGCATACAAACGAGCAACTGTTTTCGCATTTCAGCTCTTGCTATTTCTGCCTGTTCAAATGCTATACCAAAAATCCATAGGGAGCTATATAGAGAGTCTCTCAAGTAGTATAGTACTTTTGCTTTTAGTCGTTGACTTCTTATCAAAGTATCAAGGTTCGAACTAAAGTATGATGGTCTGGTACGAATATATGTACAATGTAAGCAACTACTTCAAGCTATTTCAATATATATTTATACAACTATTAATCCCTGCCTGCATGTTTTTGACAGCATCAACTCTTCACGACGCGCATTTTTTCTCGTTAAGATCTAATTCTACCGCGTCCAGCTTCAAAGCAGCAGCAGGGGGAGCAATAATCTGCACACTGCCATGAGTGGTAAATTTAGGAGGCGCAGACGCACTTGGAACCGTCATAAGTTCTGGATCTGACACAGGGGATTCTATTGCACTCTCAGCTCCTTCGTCATGTACATCAACTGTCAGTGGGACACTTGAGAGACCCGATGCTGCGGCTGTCGCAGAACTTGGCAATGCCAAACTACGCAGCGCACCGATGGCACTAAGCGCTTTAATTTTCTTTCGAGCGCGTTTCCACTTGGCGTGAACAGTGAGCTTTGCATTAATACGAAATCCTTCCATGAACTCGTTAATATTAATCTCGTTGTCGTGGCTAAAATCCAACATACGCATGTAATCCAAGCCATTCGTACTGAAAGGTTTTGTTCCAGGAGGTAAGTGTTGATTCAACAACTTAATTCCATTCTCCAGTTCATCAACAGAAATAGTACCATTACCATCTCTGTCGAGTACGCGAAAGAGAGCTTCAAGTCGCGATCGATGACGATACAATGAATTAAAGGCACTGCGCTGCTTTTCCCGCTCTGGGTCATCGTTTTCTTCGCTTTCCGAACGTTTTAGAGCTCCTTCAGCATTGTAGCGGTCCAGAAACTTAATATAAGGAACAAGACCGTCCTCATCTAAAGCAGTTAACAAGGGTTGAAGGGCGTTCCAGTCCAAAGATAAGTCCAATACATCCTCCATAATTGTACTCCAAGTCTGGACCGTGAGTTTTCCCAATTTCGTTTGATCATAGTGTTCGAATTCAGCGAGTAAATCAGCCCGGTATTGTACGATTAGCGAAAAGAGTGCATCTAAATTTGACACAGCCATATCGCGACTCTCAGCACTCGCCATATACTGAAAGAAAGCAGGTTTTTCTTTGCCAGAAGGGAGTCGCATAAAGCAGCCCAAGTTATTGGCCTTACCACAATAATTGGACGCTGAAAATAGCGTAACCAACATGCCCTTCTCTTGGTACGGCCAATCAAAACCTCGTGGAACGCACTCGTGAGAGCGAACAATCAGAGCTAATTTATTCTTGCTCATAAACTTCTGTACAATGTCAGGGCCATACATTGTACCAGCCCCACGTTTGTTTTCATCATAACCTTTTGTAGCCTTCGGGTCGCTCCAGAGCAAGTCGCGAATCATTTGCATCTTACGGAAAGATTCTCGATCCTTGCGGTTCTTGGGCTTTGTACGAAATCGTGTGAGATCATAACCGGCACGATCAAGACCATTAAGTTCCTTGACGTACATATTGTCACGAGGAATACCACCATGAACCACAAGAACACGATCGTCAAGAAGCGTAGCAAGAGGAAGGTACCGAAAACTCTCACAGAAGAGGTCGTACACGTATCGATCATACTTGACTTCGCACTCTCTCATGAAGCCAAACACTTGCGTGATAGAGTTTTCTTCATGGTTGCCACGATTCATCAAAACGTGCTTGGGGTATAGCAGCTTGAACATGTAGATGATAATGGCAATTTCGATGCCACGGTCACCACGATCAACAAAATCGCCGTTAAATAAATATGGATTCTTCTCCGACGGCATTCCGTTTTCACGAAGAATCAGCAATAAATCATCTAATTGACCGTGTAAGTCACCAATGATGGTAATATGGTGTGCAGGTGCTATATGGTACTCCACCATGGTCGGAGACTTTCGAAATAGCGCCGTCGCTTCGTTGATGACACGAATAACGACATTTCGAGGGATTTTACGCCCATTGCGACATGAGTCAATAAGATCTTCTACATATTTTAAGGTAATGACTCCATTGAGATCATCACCTTGCACATACATGTCGGCAATGTCAATATTCCCCATTTCTTGCTTAGACACCGCGTAAGCCTTTGAAAGTTTTTGCTTGCCATCGTCTAGTCCAGGAATATGATGTACAAGCGCATCTAGAAAAGACGATAGCTCCAACTGTATCAACAACGAATTAAAATTGTAAGGTGTTGTATTTCAGACTTCCAATAAAACGAGATTAAACAATACCGCTTCAGCTTCTTCGCGATTTTCAAGATCATTGAAAAGCTTCCAGTTAGATATAATTTGATCTTCAGTAGGGGTTGAAGCTGTCGAGCTGGATGGCGATGGAGGAGGCCGCTCTTCCTGCCGTTGCGGACCTGCAATGTGATAAATAAATCCATATATCAATTGTTGCTTTAGGATATTCTAAAAATGCACCACTTATTAACCTGCTCGTCGTTCGGTGGCAGAAGGTTGTGATGGTCTGCTGCTGCATATTCACAGCATAATTAACATTTGCATTTGAGTGACTAAAATATAATTCATACCCAATACTGTCGTTTGTGCGTCTTGTGGAGTTGGGTGCAAGACGCGTCTGCACATTTCCTGCGCGGGAATTGCGCTGTTCAATTGAAGGTTTATTGCCCATGATGAGACTCAATGCCGCGATTTAGACAAGTCTCGAGTGAATGAATACACGTAGCAAGAAGCCAACTATATCCCACTTGATGTAACGTCTGACTCGCTTTTAGACAATCAGATTATGACGAATCATATCAGCTGGAAGAGTATCGCAAATCACATATGCGGGATAGACAACATCTTAAAGGAGATTTTATATTGAACTATTGCAAGAACGGTCCCGAATTTAACAACATCTTTCTTAAATGAAAAGTAGCTTTGTAAAAGCAGGTTCGATAACACTGAACTTAAGATTAGTCCGAAAGCGTTTGGAATGCTTGCTCTACTTCTTCATCCAAAGCACTGAAAAAAGCTTTGAGCTCGGCTTCCGGTTGCTTAGGCAACTGAAACTTCGTTTGGATAATCTTCTGCAATACTGGATTCATGGACGTCTTGATTTGTGCCCATGTCACCTTTGCATCCGGTGGCGAGTCCGCGATCGCTTTTTGACTTAGATTGTAAAACAGAATGATCGATCGTAACATACCGACACTTTTCACCAGTGGACACGTAAAATCGTAGTCCGAAAAGGCATTTTGCTGCAAATAATCCTCTCGAATGATCTTGGCCACCTCCATAATTACTTTTTGATCTTCTGAAAGCGATTCTTTACCGACCAATTGCACAATTTCGGTCAAGTTGTCTTCCTTTTGCAAAATCTCCTGACATTTCGTACGCAACATCGAATATTCAGGGTCGATTTTGTTAAAAAATGGCTCAAGAACCCGCATGTACTTGGTATAACTGACGAGCCAATTAACAGATGGAAAATGTTTTCGTTGCGCTAACTTCTTGTCGAGGCCCCAAAAGACTTGAACGATACTTAGTGTCGCTGCCGTCACAGGGTCCGAGAAATCACCGCCAGGTGGCGATACGGCGCCAACGACCGTCACACTCCCTTCACGCTTTGGACTTCCTAGACACGCGACACGACCCGCACGTTCATAAAACGCGGCCAGACGAGCACCCAGATAAGCAGGGTATCCACTATCAGCGGGCATTTCCCCTAAACGCCCAGAGATTTCACGTAAAGCCTCAGCCCAACGACTTGTAGAATCTGCCATCATTGATACGTTCATTCCTTGGTCACGGAAGTATTCAGCTAGCGTAATTCCCGTGTATATTGACGCTTCACGAGCTGCAACAGGCATGTTACTGGTGTTCGCAACTAGAGTCGTTCGCTTCATGATGGGCACTTCACGATCATTGATTGTCATTGTAAGCTCAGGGAAATCGTTCAGCACTTCGGCCATTTCGTTACCACGCTCACCACAACCAACGTATACGACTGCATCCGAATTTGAGTGTTTCGACAATGCTTGTGAAATGACTGTCTTGCCACAACCAAATGCTCCAGGTACTGCACACGTACCGCCCAGTACCGATGGGAAAAGTGCGTCAATGATACGCTGACCCGTCGTAAGCGCTACATTTCCGGCCAATTTCTCAGCCACTGGACGTGGTTTACGTACAGGCCACATGTGCGACAGTCCAAGCTTGTGGGTGATGCCTGAAGTGTCATCACGCACTTCAAGTACCGTGTCCTTGAGTGTAAATTGCTCGTTGTTGTCGGTTCCAGCGCCATAAATCTTGACGACGGTACCAAAAACGTTAGGTGGGCACATGATCTTATGCGAGTGAAATATATCGTTTTCATGTACAAGACCAAAGATGTCGCCGCCAGAGATTGGGTCTCCCTCGCGAAGATTAACAGGTTTGTAGCGCCACGGCTTTTCGGCGTTTAGAGATGATACATCTACACCACGAGGGATGTATACATCTTTGGTAAGGTCGCTAATAGCGTGCAAAGGACGCTGGATACCATCAAAGATATTGTCGACAATACCAGGACCAAGCTCAACTGACAATGGTTGTTTGCGTCGTTCTACAGGGTCTCCTACAGTAAGGCCGGATGTGTCTTCGTATACTTGAATGGAAGCGTTAGTGTTCTCCAGCTTGATAATTTCACCCACGAGCTTATCATGGCCCACACGCACCTAAGAACAAGTCAATCGTGTTCATATCTACATTTTCTTCTCATTATATCAAATTCTAAGCTGCGTACTAGCTCGTACATGGCAGCGCCATGCATGTTTTCGGCGATCACCACTGTGAAAACGCATGACAGCAAAACGTAAATAGATGAAATGAAAGAAATTCAGGGGGATTAACGTACAAGGACCCGATACTTTGTATACGTAACCGAAGTCAGACTCTTTCTCGTTGTCGCCGAACACATGGGCCATAGCTGATGATGCTCTAAAGAGATCTTGACTTTTGGTCGAGATCTTCCTTCACTTGCGTTTGGTATGTGAAAATGGAGACGCTTTGTTCATATGCAATTTTCGGTATTTACCGGTAAGTGTCTTATGTAACACATCAATTCTGTGAAGAGCTATTTACATCTATTGGCTAAAGGTATGCGAGCTTTGGTTGGCATCAAAAGGAGCTCTATAAGAAAGATGACGGATCAAGTTGAGCAGGTCACAGAGGCCATACAGGCTACAACACTTGGTAGTCAGACACCAGAACAACCAAGCAACCCCATCACTTGTAACGAAGCGCTTACATCTGCACCAGCAGCGCCAAAATCATCCCCGGCAACAACTAAGAAGGTTCTACACCTCGTTATCGACTCTGGTGCCATTATTAAAGGCACCAATCTGGTCATATTAGCTGAAGTAAGAATATATGTAACTGGACAGTTGATGCCTTATACTCACCATGGGTCATTCTTTATCAGAATTTCTGGACAGTCCCTGATGTGCTGGACGAAATTCGTGACAAGAAGTCACGAGCCTTTCTAGAGCGTCTTCCATTTACTCTTCAGACCCGCGAACCTTCAGCCGCGGCCATGAAGGCTGTGGTCAATTTTTCACGCAAGACAGGAGACTTTGCATACCTTTCGCTCACGGACCTGCGTGTCATGGCGCTATCTTACCAACTTGAAGTTGAGGCAAATGGTTCTAACCACTTGCGTACCAGTCCTACGCTCTCGCAGACGGTAACCCTTGCGGCCAATGGCAAGATTTCCGGTGGATCACAGACAGAGATTCCATGCAAGTATTACGGTACAACAATCGGCTGTAAATACGGAGAGGAGTGTAGGTTTGCACATGAAGGACCGATAGCTAACAATGCTGAAGCAATCAAGAATAAAGTTGACATTGCATGTCGTTATTTCAATACTCCTGAAGGATGCAAGTACGGCAATGACTGCTCATTCGTGCACGAGAAGACAGAGGCTGATGGACATTTAGCAGAAGTTGAGGGATTGGAAGTTGTGGATTACAAAATTAACGAGAATATTCTTAATGCTGACGTCAAGTCGCGTATCATGGGCAGATTTGCGGCTTCTAGCAACTTCGGAGCTACTGAAGACGACGGTAAAAATTGGATTACAGAGGAGAACTATGTCAAGTTCGCAACTTCTCCATTCGGTGACGGTAAATGTCTTCAAGAGATCTCGTCACGATTATCAGTAGCTTGTATCACAACGGATTACTCCATGCAAAATGTCGTGCTGCAGATTGGACTGCGTCTTCTTTCGACGGAGGGCATGATCATTAAACGCGTAAAGCAGTGGATACTGCGGTGTATTGCGTGCTTTACGACGTCTACTGAGATGGACCGTATGTTCTGCCCGAAGTGTGGAAACAGTACCATGGAGCGAATGTCTTACAGTCTAGACCGCGATGGCCACATGACATTCTATTCAAGAGCGAACCGCCCGACAAAGCTTTCAGGCACTAAGTATTCGTTACCTAAGCCCAAAGGCGGTCGCAATGGTGATTTGTTGTTACGCGAAGACCAGCTTTTGATGGGAATTTGGGGTCAGCGTCAACGCCAGCACAAGAAGATCATGCATAGCGCTTTTGGAGAGCACGTTGCACACGATCTTGGCGTTAGAGCCGAGAAGCAGTCAAGTATTCAAGTGGGTTACGGACGTATGAACCCGAACGCACAGAAGGGCCGTGAGCGTCGTGGCAAGAAGAAACGAAACTAGTTGAGGTCTATTCATAAAAGGTTAAAGATTTATTGGATCTATTTGTAGCTTGAAAAATACTGAATCTGTAGAACTGACGTTCTAAACTAGGCATAATTGGTCTTCAAGCTGAAGACTTCTAATAGCAATGTCAAGCTCTGAGAAAAGTAGCATGGCTTTGGATGGCAGGCAAGATGTCACCATTCTTGACTGTGCTAGAACTGGAGCTTGCATTACATCACCTCGTAGTTTGGAAGCATGTCGTCGTATGGGCATTAAACCGTCTGATTTAATTTCCAAGACAGTTGTAGAGTTTCTGAATCAAAAAGTCAATCAAAAATTTTCGCTGATAGAGAAAGAAGCTGCAGTGCTTCGTCATGAGCGTTTTGAACAGCAACGACAAATTAAGGTGGAGACCGTTCGGGTAGAACGAGAGGCAATCATTCATGGCTTAGGACCCGCACCCCCTTCAACAGCTTTATTATCGGGATCTATCGGTAGTCCAGTGTTAAAACGGCAAAATGTTCCAGGCTTTCCACCTCGACGAATCATGTCGGCGAAACGCTGGAAAAAGAATGGTAACTCGTTAGTAAGTAGCACAGGAGCGTTGCCTGGCTCGACGTTGTTGCAATTAGAGGAACGACGGTTTGCCCGGATGAAATTACGCCAACAGCAAGACCTTCGAAATGCTATCGAAATGGAGGCAAAACTTGCTCGGATTCAGGAAGAAAATGCTCGACGAGCTGTGGAAGAGTTAAAACGACAAGAGGATGATCAACGCGTGGCAAGGGCGCGTCGAACGCAATTAGCTGCTGCAAAGCACGAGAAAATGCTGGCAAAGAAGCGAGTGGAAGATAAAGAAGCTCTTGAGCAGAAAGCTCGGCGGCGGGCTGAAGCGGAACGTGAAAGAATATTAGCCGAGGAAGCTAAAGAGAAAGCGCGGATTCATGTGTTAGAAATAGCACAGCGAGATAAGGAGCGGCAAGAAAATGCTGATGCATGGCGAGCACACACTGAGAAATTAATGAGGCAGCAGGAAGAAGTCGTTGAAGCCAATCGACAAGTGATGCTGGAAAAGGAACGAAAAATTGTTTTGAAAATGGAAGATGCAAACAAGAGGCGACAACATGAAGCACGGGAACGACGAGAAAAGGCTAACGCGCGTATTCAAAGTGTATCATATCAAAATGAAATGGCCATTGCGAATAAAAAGCAGGAAATGGCAGACAAACAAAAAGCGGCGGCAGAGCGTGCTCGAGAGATGGAAAGGAAGAGCCAGAATGAATTAAAAGATCGCGCTGCAAAGTCCAAGCAAGAAGAAATCGTACGTCAGAAGCGACTTGATGCAGCTAATGGAATACGGCAGAATCATGTACGCCAACTGATGCTAAAGCGTGAACAGGTGGAAGCTCAGATGATCATATCACAGCAAGAACGAGAAAAAGAGCGTTTGCTTGCGCAGGTAGAGCATCAGTTGCAAGTGACTCAAAAGGAGGAAAATGTTGCGAGGATTCAACGAATGGAAGAGTATGCACGTGAGCAGTTAGTTAAGCGTATTTCTTTAGCCGATGCCAGATCTAAAGCAGTGAAGGAGCGAAAGGAAGCTCTGTTACAGGCGCGGCATCAAGCTGCAACCGAGGCAATGATTCGTCGACATCGTCTGGCTGAAGCTGTAGAGAAGCTACGAAGATCAACGTCAAAGTGGGATAAGGTCGAAGAATATCTGTACGCCCTCTTGTTGTATCGAAACGTGATTTTGTTTTGATTTTTTTGTTATCTGGTGCTTTTATAGGGATTATGAAGCGCATATTCCGCAGACTGTCACGCCTATCTCCGGGCCGACAAGTAATAACTGGGAGTGCTGAAAGGCATCAAACGTCGTCGCATGTAATAAATCCAACTGTTCCCGACCAAAGATTATAATAAATTCAATATCGATCAAATTTCTGTCCCACAGTTGTAAATAATCCCTGATTATCGTATTCGTTAGTCAAGAACGTTAGAAACAAAAGCCAAAAGTTGAAAACCTAGTCAATTTCGATAATGTCCACTTCTTTCGTCCTTTTCTCTACATGTGAACGCTCATCTGTTGTTTCTAAAGAAAGCCTTATTGCCTCTCTCAACTGCTCGCTGTCACTATCCTCAGATATCAGATCTTCAGTTGCAGGATGATTTGATTCAGAACAGACTTTATAAACGTCTTCATTTTGAGCTCCAAGCAATTTAAGCCCATCCTTTTTACGACCTGATTGTAAAGCTGAGGCATGAAATAGCCCTTGTATGTCTTCAACTATATAAATCACATTCTCGGATCCAAGCGCAGAAAATTTATTGGGAACAGAGGGTGGAGCCTTATGCACTGGCCATTTCAAGCTTTTTCTATCGTCACGTTTCTCCGTCGGCTTCATGCGGCTACCACTTTTCGATTCAATGGAAAACAAATCATTTTTTTCAGCACGCGAAGTCTTAAAATCACCTTGAGCGGAATCTCCAACACCATGGATCTTGCCTTCCTGTATTGCAGAAAAAAACGGCTTTACACTCGGTAAACTTCTTTTCTTCTTCAACTTTTCTTCACGGGCAAGCTCTCTTTCTCTTTTTTTTGCTTGTTTTGCTGTAAATTCTTTTGGTTCCTTAATTTTAATGTAGTTTCCGCCACAACTGCGCAAATGGTCAGCCCACCAACGATCTTTTGGCCCCGGACATCGGTTCATTGACCTTTTGACAAGGCCAAAGTACGGTCGAGTGCGCCGGCATGGACCCTGAACGTGGATAATCAGCTGCAGCGAATTCTACAATCTTGACACAACTCAACTTACAGTGCACTGCCAAACGTGCTGTCGATACGAATTCACTTCGTCGTGAAAAGTGTGAAAGACCGTAATTTTTGTTTTTGCTGCTTCGTTGATCCGATTCATATGTGATTGAAATAGCGGTCCGTGGTCCTCATGGTCACGCACAGACGTTCCCACAAAAACGTACGCATGAATCATTTCGTGCTGCGCATTATAGCAAAGTCAAAACGCCTAACTCAGTGACAACAGCCGACGAAATTTAAGATCTTACCAGCAAAGTATTGACCATATCACTACGTGGTCGAAGCTTTAGCAATGGTTCACTATATGAATATAGTGCAGCATGATTTGTTGTAGTGTTGGACTTCGAAAGCTTGATGACTTACCTTAATCGAATCGAGCAGAATCCACTCAGACGCTGAAAGCTGCACAACCCAGCGCTATAGCGCATAAAGGTGTCATAATAATATAATGTTGTCATGTGCGAAACACTACTCCTTACCAGAGTGTCATTCGCTTACTCCATTTTACTTCGCATCCCGCCAAACGACCTTCGAAGAACAAGCAATTGTACTCCTACATGAATATTCAATCAGAAATTAAGAGGACCAAATGGAGAATAATCGAGCGTGTCGAATACATACTTGGAAGAGCGAATGCAAGTCTGGATTTGGGTCTGACATGCAGTAATAACGTCATTATCGCTGCATTTGTGCTTGGAATTGAGACGATTGTATAAAAATTTTGACTTACCCAGATACTCATATTCTGGAGCCAGTAAATTACATTGCTGTGTAGCCAGCGAGTCTCCGTTGCTCTTCGCCATATCAGTCGCAAGCACTTCCTTCATCAGTGCTCCCAGTATACGACGAATTACTAGTCATGACAATTTTAGCCACTTAAAAGAAGCGTGTCATACTACAATATAGTCAGCACTTCAAATTGGTTTTTTATTAATCTCATCAGCTTATCGAATTTGTTTTTCGATGACTAGCGCTTTCATCTCTGACAAGTAAAGTGGGTTGACACCAGCCTCGACAAGTTGGTCTACCTCCTCCATCCTTATGCGCTCCAACTTTTCGATTTCTTTTGCATATTCTTCCTTAAGAGCTTGACCTTCCTCCTGCTTTTTGCCAAAAGCACTTTTCTTCAGATGTTCCTTTTCTTCAATCTGCAATTGCAATACCCGACGATGGGCCATGCTCGCTAGCTTGCGTTTCTCGTCTTCTGCCTTCACACGTGCCTTATCCGAGTCAATTTGGGCCATAATCAAATCGTACTCGCGCTGTTGCATTGATGCCTCTTTCACACGAGCACGCTCTCGATGCAGCGCCTGAGCTTCTCGAGCTCGCCGCAATTCATTCATCTCGTCATTATGTTTTCTAGCCAAAGCCAAGTCAGCTTCACGTGCTTGCCGTTCACGCGCTTCTGCTGCACGCTTAGCCCGAAGCTCCGCCAGTTCTGCTTGATCATTTGCCATTTTCTCCTGCATTAAACGCAGCTTGGCACATCGGAGCTCCGCTTCATGCCGAAGCTGCGCTTCTTCTTCTTCACGACGTTTGAGATCATCCGCCTTCTTTAGCTGATAAGCATGCACAGCCTCTTCTTCTTCTTTGATCTTACGCTGCACCTCCAGTTTTCGTATCAGAGTATCCTCATTAAACTTTTTAACTTCTTCCATTGAGTGTTGTGTCCGCAAAGCTATTGCCTTTTCTTTCTCAGCTTCTTCTTCCTGCTGGCGCTGTATCTTTACCAGCATTTCTTGCGCTTCCTGAGCAACAATTGCACTCTCCTTTTGACGCTGGCGACGACGATCTTCAATCTGATCTTCCAGCACTTTACGGTCTGCAATTCGCTTCTGTTTCTTAATTTCATCCTGTTCTTCCTGTCGCTTTAAACTTTCAAGTCGCGCGATCTCCATCAAAGTGTTCATCTTCTCATCGTACAAATGATGCTCTGCTTCAAGTTCTTTTTTTACCTTGAGCTGCTGGTCACGAATGGTGAAAGCTTGTGCACGAGTGCCCAGTGTCTTCATAAGTTTAACACTGTCATGCGTCTGTTCTTGTAGCACTCGAGCACGACGCAAAATTTCATGTTTTTCAGCTGAAAATATCTGCTCAATCTCGCTTTTAGGTGCTCGTAGCGCTGCTTCCTCGCTTAGCTTTATCATATGCTCTTTTCGAGCTTTTGATGCCAGTCTTTGATGCTCTTGATCCGTCTCGAGCTTGGCCTCCAGTGCTTCCAAATCAACAGCAGTCAAAATTTTCGTTTCGGCTTTGATACGCTCGAGTTCGTCTTCGGGTAGCACGATCAGCTGAGTTTTAGTCATCATTTTCTTGTTTGTACGCTTTCTGTTTTGATTACCAAGTGACACGACGGAATCATTTCCGCCCACTTCTTGGTTCGACGAATTATTTGAACGAGCACCAACAATATTCCTGCCATATCGTGATAACACTTCATTAAAGGTCATTTTTCATACAATGGCTTCTGAACAAATACCTCCCTGCTTGAAGCGTGCGATCGTTTGTACGGTGTTTTCGCAGCTGCTTCTCTGCACCAAAGAGCGTGTCATCAACTTGAGGTGAATGAGCTATTCGGCGGTATCGCCGCGATCCACTGCCACTATGACACGAAGTTCTAGGTAAGTTGCCACTCGTGTCCGAATTCGTTCGCCCGCTCATGCTCATGGTGGCTCTCGACTTGACTGAATCAATGTAAGCCGTCGCTACTATTATTACCATTCATCCAGCTCAAAAGGTTTCTTAAATCATTGCTATATTCAGCTGCAAGAACGACACGAAAATTGAGGCCTTCGCCAGCAAGCAAAATCAATTATATACTGCAGTTCAACGAGCAATGTGTTATTATTGCAAAGCTTCCAACAATTTGTCTTTTCTACAGCGCCGATAGCTTGATGGCCTGTTGCAGTGTGAAAGTTTGCCCGGCTGGAAGTTTCTGCTGCTCGCTGACACGCCCAGGCTCGATGCAGAGCATTTTCAGGTATTCATTGTCTCCAAAGTCGCTCATGCCCTTAGCCTTATCCAACCACGGATTCCATACGACTATGTCGCTTTGCTGATCCGTGCTGGTTGCACCATTCTTGATCGAAGCCCTCTTTTCAATCGTCACAATCTGTTCCCTGCCGTCTGCACGCTTCATGCACACCACGACGGGCGATGGGGCGTTAGCATAGACATTATCTGTCTCCTGGTCGAAAGTCAACAGATCGCGCTCCTCAGTCTTCTCAAAACCCGCGACCTTGTCATGATACTTTAGGCTCTTGAGACCTTTGACTGTGACACCTCCATGACGAACGTCGTCAACCGTCAGATACGTGTGCAGGAGAGCCTGAAATGCCATCGTATCCACTGAATTGTTCTGAATGTGGATGGCTGTCGTTAAAGAATTTGCGAATAGCTTGACCTCATATACAATATCGAAATCGTTTGTGTACATAGTCCTAATGCCCTGTGAAATATCAAGGGCAAAGGTCGCAATTGTGGGTTGCTGCTCATCTTTGACATTATCGTCCATTTGGATCAGCCTCCAGTTGTTGATACGTGCGAAACCATGATTTGGAAAACCCTCGGCAGCGCCAAACACTGGGAATACAAGCGGAATGCCACCGCGGATCGGCTTGCTACAGTCTAGCACCGCTCGCGACGATAAAAAAAGCACATTGCGGTCAGGCTCTTGAGCCGCGTAGAACGATATTACTGTTGCACCGTACAAATGCACCTCAGCACGCGATCCCGACGGATGACGCAGCTCGATGACTGACATTTGGATGGTGAGATATCTTGTGAATGATACGAGGTACGACTTCTGTAGTAAATTGCTGAGATATCTTATAATACAATATATGTAGATACAATGAGTACGGCATTTATTGCTGTATTTTAACTCCGTGATATACACAGATTTTTACGGCTAACGGCCCCTAAACCTTCCAGTTGTCTGGTTCTTTCAGGAGATGCTCATGTCGGTCGCCGAGGAAATCGTAAATCGATTAAGCTGAATGTCTGGACCACTTGAATATTACGCACTACGCCCCCTTACACTTCCGCATATTTGTGAAAACCCAATATCGTACAAATGTAAGAATTTCATGATAGACTGTGTGTAATTATGGATATTCAGAGATAACGATGTATTGGTACTTGCGGATGAGGCTGACAACTGGGTTGGTGGCGTCTCAAATGAGCTAGAGCGATGTCCAAGAGCTAAATTTTCCTGTCGAAGTCACAACGATTTTCAATAAGCTCGCCCAGTCTGTATCACATCGTAATTGTTACCTGCCAGGAAGACGTCAGATTATATGTCGCTTGATTATTTAATTTGGGAAAGCGCGTCACGCGACGTCAACGCCAAGGCGGAAAATCGATCTGTCTACGGATCACGCTTCATGATCATAACTATGAGAATGAAGGTCGACTATAGAACGCTATGTATTCGCATGTGCTGAGAAAAGATCAGAAGCTCAACTCTGTTAGTGTAAGAGAGCGCTGTTCTCAAACAGTCCCTCAAACACAACAGACACGCTTGTGCGACGAGGAAGCGATTCCCCAAGTAGAGGAAGAAGAACAACCCGACGTTGGGGGAAGAAGAATGGCTTAAGCCTTCAAACGCACATTTAAAACTGAACTAAAACGAGTTATGGTTCCGAATTACATGCAAAAAAAACAAGGGCTCCAAGAGGTTTCACTAATGAAACCCTGAGTTCCTGACATATAAATCAAGGATGTACTAAAGTTAATCCTCAGCTTCAACGGATACAAAATCTTGGGTTAATGGAGCTTAAACCTCGCTTGAACTTCAACTTTCGTGGAAAGTTTTCAGTAGAAGGGACTGGCTAACGCCACCCACTTCTAAGGACAGAGACACTTTGGTCTCGTCACCAGTACAGATCCCCAAGTATGAACCAGCATTTTGTATCACACGAATTGTTTGTGACTTCATACAAGAAATCACGTATGAACACCAAACTTTAATCTTCTTTTATTGATTCCCACAATGCACACAGAAGGTACTTTCATATAATGGCCAAGTGTAGCCCATTAGAGCTAGCGACGACCGCATTGTGCTCAATGTAGTGGGGGTGGAATTTGAAATCTAATGACATGCGGTATTCTTTTAACGGAACAGATGGTCCTCACATAATATTCGTAATTTTTTGTCATCGGTATCTTCCTCCTGACTTGCATGTCTTGCCTTTCAACTAGATCGCCATGAAGTTGGCGCTTGACTTTGGGCCTTTTGACTTATTACCACTGCTTTGATACTAAGTAAAGCCGGCTGATAACACAAAGTCGATAAGTATCGACAGCTTTTCCCCGTCCAGACTCAAAATGACATCGTAAACGCTTCAAAAAGACCAAGGATATGTCCCTTGGACTCAAAGCAAAGCCCAACTTTACCTTAGTGGAGTACCATGACAAAGTGCCAAACCTCGAATTCGATATGTTTACAATGCGACTCCAAAGTATGAGGGCTGTGGAACGCGTGGAACGTTAGCCTCACGCTATTCATTGCATATAGTTGCCGGTTATTTGGCGACTGAGTCTGAATAAGACTGTATGTTTTGTGCGTATGGAGCCTGATGTATTTTCCAATATGACTTCGAGACACAGAGACACTTTAAAACTTTATGTTTTATCGGAATCGCAATATACGGTCCAAAAGGCAAGAAACGTCACCGAGCTCCTGATGCCGTTCATCACTAAGACACCACCATGAACCCCAGGACCAGACGTCAGTGGGACCATACCTAGCTCCCAAAGTGAGGCTACTTATGCTAACCGTCCATTCTCAGAGGGCAGAACGAAGAATATCTTCGTCTTTGCATAGAAAAATGTTTAAGCGACCAAAATCGCGGGTTTCTGGACGGCCTGACCTGGCTACTTCGATCTCCATATATGGGCATCTCGCCGTCAATACGCGGATCTATATGCCCCGCCCGATGGGTGCGTCTCACGGTATTGCTGGCTCAGCCGTACCTTTGCGTTGACAAGGGTAACATCTTGAAATCTTCAGGGCCTAGTTTTTCCCCTTAAAACTTTCAACCGCCTAACTTAACCTGGTTCTTCCCCGAAAATGTAAAAAGTCGGTCGTATTTATTCGTCTCGCAGGGATAGGTTTTGGAGAACCGCAACGCAACATACAGCTTCTCTTATTCACCTCAAACAAGCACATCTCCGGAGAATTCAGCTTCAGCTATTATTGTTAGTCTCATCAAAGATGCATTTTAAGAATCATGGCCTACTGCCGCTTTCGCATTGTGAGCCTAGCTCACCACATTCTGACATTAGTGTTAATGGTTACATTGGACAATCGCCTGCTGTTCACGGTAGCGGAACAGCTTTAGTCCACGTAAAACCAAGAACTTGCTCAAAAAATCTGTCAGACTGATGATGTAAAGAAATATCTTTCAAGCTATGACTAAAGACGTTCCGGATTCGCGAGATTGCAGCATAGTCGTATAGATTGCAGACACTACGTGCACTTAAATCGTTTGAAACGCTATAGATCATGTGCCTCTGAATTGAGTATGTCGTTGCTTTCGGATATTCTGGTATTCACACATAGCGTTGCGCATGCTGCATGAACAATATCTTCAAGATGAATCTTTCTAACAAAGTGTAGCCAAGCTATTATTAGTTATTCAAACCATGCCAAACACATCTGTACCATAAGTAAGTGTATGGAGGTGTCAAAGGGACGCGGGATGGCTCAAAGTATTGATAAAGAATGGGCAAGCGTTTGAGGCTACACCTGCATTATCTGGTGAAACTTCAATAAGCGATAGTACTGTGCCTCAAAACCTTAGTATCTCCGCGCAAAGTCGTCGGATGATATCGTCTGTGAAGAGATTCCCTCTGTTTTTTTACCTGATTGTGGATGCTCAGCGGAATAACTGTTCATTCTGGTTCCAGTACCTTGAGTAATCCTTACTATATTTTTCCCTGGAGTATGATTTGCGAGTCAAAATACTGGCCACCAACAAGCCATGTCGGTGAACATTTCCTCGCTAAACAGCTTGGCTGCAGCCTCACCTTAATGATATTGCCAAGCGAAGCGCATTGAACCATTTGCTCATACGGTCCACAAGTATCATCACCTGGCGATTTTTTTGAAGCCTAAGACAAAATCAGTGCTGATTGGCTGTCAACACTCTGTGTGAATTGGAAGGCTGTTTGAGGCATCGGCGCATTTGGCGAGAGTTAAATCCGTAATTACTTTATACAAACGCGTACATACTTCTATGTGCTGGTTCACCAGTTCATAACGCTCACTGAGCCATGTCTATTCTACACCAGCATGGCGGCTAAAGGAGGCGTCATGCGTTGTATGTTGAGTTTCAAATGAGTCCGTGTTTAAATACAACAGGCTTTGGTGGATAACGGTGCAAACATGCGAACATGCGAACGAACGCTTCAATGCAACAATTTTTGCATTTAAATTGTTTGATATTCAACGAATTTAGCTACTCTGGAAATGTTGCATCTGACTCGTTCATAATACATATCGCCTCATCATAGCACGACGTCGTTATCGTGACATACGACAATTCATAGTCGGGGCGACGCGAGCGCCGCCACATTAAGCTGACCAGGCTTGTATTTTCTTTCGAGGGTATGTCCGGCAAACATGGATGACCATCTTGTCCTTCTTTGTCAGATACGAGGTGGCGATGTAGCAGTGGCAACGACGCAAAATAATTTTGATTTTTTTGAATTGCTCGGAGTCAAGTAGCCAAACTCTGACTTTGAAAAAATCATGGCAGATAGCTTCTCGCATGACGGATAGATATGTGAATATTGTAACATACATTACAATGTTCACGCGGGTCACATCATTAACATTTTGTTGGGCTAACTTCTACTTGTTTATTTAAGTAGTAGCTAGTCTTTCTCAGTTTTATAAACGTGTTAATTTTTTAAAGTGAGGAGCATACTGGACAATTAGTCGTTTAAACGGCTCCTGTTTGGGTGAAGCTTACGAAAGTATCATTGTATTGTTACATGTGGACCCTTAAGGCCAGCGACCCATCTTTGCGGTATGCTCGGAAACTCCGTTTCATACAAACCACAAGTTGCCTCAAAAATTCTCTGTCAATAAATCAACAGCTAATCTTCAAACATTTGAATCGCTGATAAAAGGCATAAAAAATGCTAAAAATCAAATAAATGGCTTTCACTGTCAGTCATAAATACCTGGGCATAAATACCAAACATTGAAGACACAATAAGGTGCGGTGGATTATTTGTTCGTGGAATATATATATGAAAGCTTGCAAGCCGAACTTCATTTTTGCATCAATCAGCAAATCGTTCCAAAGAAAGTTTTACGTTTGGTCGACAAATTAGAGGTCACCCCGCAAAAGTTGCATCATATGTCTTACTTTAATTATTGTTATATGAAAGGCATAAGAATTGGCAACCACCAATTTGTACAAAAGCCCTCAAGCACTGTATTGTAGCGCTTCAGAACTCACGAAAAGCAGCGCTTCAACCATTATTTATGATGAATTACTCAAGTCGTTGAGCTAAGGCAAACATCGGCATTGTTTCATGACTCTGGGGGGCATAACAGTATCATCTCTGTTATACTTTTACATTACAAGTAACGGCGAGAAGACGCTAGTAACACCAGTCTATCTTTTGTTACACCTTTGGGTAGTATAAAACAGTGAGCAGACGTTGGACTTTCTTTGAGACGATGGCAAGTCCGGGTAGTAAAGTGTTGCGTGCAATAAAGATTCATAATCCTCTTTTTAAGCGAGGCGCGGTCCGGTTGCATGAAAAAAATCAATTAGTAACCTCCTCTCTGTGTACAGATACAAAGTTAGTTTTGGGACCATCTCACTATGCGCTTTGCTAAGTACTATCAGCCATCGCAAAATATGAGACTATCATTCGCGACCATACACTCAAACATTCATTTTACTGTACCGAGTGAAAAAGTATTATAGTTATTTGGAACTTGAAAGTAGTCTTCTAAACTGCGACATCGCTTAGATATCTCCAGCTTAAGGTAATACAAAAAAATGCACCACATTGTGTGTTGATTCCATTCAAGCAGATATACTTTACTAAAGTGGCCGGGTGACAAGCTGGTACATGCTATACTAGCAGGTCAGTCTCTAGACGGATAGATATGTACACCCAGTATTTAGTTTATGTATGGCACATTACTACAACAAATGTACACAACATGAACACATATCTGCAGCAAGATCAATATGGAATGAAGCGGCTTAGTTACAATACATACTTGTCGCGGTGTCTTACACCCTTGAGAAAGTGGTTCCTTATTGCAGTTCTGAAGTTGGGCCTTGCGGCTTCTGTGGTGAAAAATCGATTTTCGACCTGAGATGTATTAGAAGAAAACCATGTCAACAACAAAATTATTCAGCGACTCAAAGCAGCCATCTAAATCAACCATTATTTTGGAACATATACGTCTTCTGTGCAGGCAGCAAAAGTAATACGCGGAGAAGGTCCGCAACAACGGCTTGCAAAGCCCTCGGTGTTCCTGCAGTATTACGTAGACATCTGAGGCACATTACTTCGCAGCTTGCTGAAATTTCAAGTGCTTGACAGCAGAACAGCGCGCTGACTGGATTTGCCTCTGTAGATGTTAGGGAACGACGGGTGGGAGCGCCTCTGAGCGCCTTCACTCGCTGCATTCCACTCTACAATCTTAGTGTCCATGTATACGAATGGTGCAGCAGGAAGACGGGCTACGTCGTTTGCGAGCAGGATGAAACAGCAAAGTTTTGCCGTTGTAAGCGACTTTGGGATCATTAGTCAGCTCATCGATGGATTCCAAAAATTGGGGCGTCTGAGAAAGTAAGCGCTAAATCATTCAACTGTGCACATTCTTTTTTTATAAGGCGCCGAGAGCGCAACGCAATTAGTAGCCTGTCTTGACCAGCCGTATGCAATGATTGATGTTTCGGTCGGTGGCTGATGTCAAAATTGATGCGATCGGTCCGCACAAGGATTCGCTGCTTTGAGCTCATTACAAACGATCCTGTCGTCTCCTCTTCATAGATATTTTATTGTCTGCTCTTATTGGATATCATACTGAATCATTGTAGGCCAACGACTTGCTGATATCTTACCGGTATACCCATGGCTAGTTAAGGCGTATCCTGTTTCACAGCAATGTGGTCTACTTTGTGGATTCTGGTGAGGTACGCCCCCAATATGTCCTGGAGACTTCTCATTGCACGGCAGGGGTGGACTGGTCATCGGAACACCTACGTTTTATTTGTCAAACAGTTCTAGGACACGTCTTGGCCCCGACCAATTTTCTCACGCAAAAAACCTCAGCGCATGTCAATATGTATGTGAGTTTGTATTCATAGCCAGTGTGAGAAATATATGATTGTGCGCGAGAAAACTTGCAGTAATCATTTTGTCTAGCTCACACAAAAAGTCTTGAGTCAGATCACTTCATGCGTGGCTCACGTTAAAATGATGTAGTTCATCCCCGATGATGACAGTGCCTCATCGATCAAGCCGAAAAAATACTCGTTTATCATGAACGCGTAGCCACTTGTACTGCGTTGATCTTCAATCGCTAGCCTAATGCATGTTTGAGAGCGTTCCTTTCTTAATATATGATTTTTAATGCCGTGCGTCTTCGTGCCGTGAATTGAGCGGAAAACGCGTTTGAGTGCTCAATTGTGTACGGAATATGAATTTAACAGACTAAAAATTTCACAAAAGCAGCGTGGTCCAATCGAGTCCCAACCACGAGTGAATGTCAAATAGCTAACTGCGTTGTGGTACGGTCTCTTGGTCACACCTGCATTCCCCCTTCGTCTTAAATTCGGCTTGGCCCCAGGTCTTGATTTTTTTGAAAGGACAATTGTATCTATGCCGAAATTCGTATCGTTATCATTAGTAAACGTGCTTCTTAATACCGACACTCTCTAAGCGGAGTCGTCTTAAGCAATGTCCAAATTCCGACTTGTAGATATTGTGATACCAGAACTTTGCGCTTAGTGAGCCGTATGCTTTTTCATGATCAACGTGGCTACACGAAAGAGCATTATGTGCCACATACAGTGTACAGTACTCGGGGTCATCATTTCAGGTAAAATAGTACTATTCGCTCTATAAAAGCGAGCCCCGGATAATTGAAAGTATTTTAAACAGTCGCTCTGAAAGAGTGACATCCGTACCAAAAGGAAACTCTTTTTGCCATAGCATCAGCCATTACGAAACATATTGCATTGTACACATTTGTTATACGTATTCGTTGATGCGCAGCGTCACCATCTGACGACCTAAGGCGCGCCAGCCACTATATTAAGCATCTTCCACATTCACCTTTCTTCTAAGGACGAGTAATCATATACCATACGCTGGAAGAGATGAAAATGATGCCACTGTGCGCAATGTAGCACGATTTGTGTGTGGTTGAGTACCAACCAGACGTACCCGAACTTGTAAACAGAACCTTCACAGCAATAAACCTTTGTTATGTCCTGGATAGCTCTTTTTTGACGCTGTGGGTTGGTAAATTTGAATACAATGACTTATTTAGACCCAATAGCATCTGCTTAGAGGAAACACAACGTATGGAGAAAGCCGAAACATCACAAAAGCCATGAAATGGGCTCAGCCGAATCGAATCAGCGGAGTTAATTCTGGGGGCATGAATACTTTTTTTTCAGCTCTATAGACCGCCTCTTTAGCCGTACCTCAAAATTGTTTAATATTTAATTGTTGTTTGGCTGGGCCATGTCAACATAATATGCATCATACTCTCGAGTTGCTGTCTACTTTCCTACATCTAGTAGGATATTAGTTGTGGTAAATACATAAAGTCTTAGATCGCCGCGGAATAAAATAACAATTTCCTTTCCAATGAAGTATGGGAGAAAAAGAAGTATGTCGGCGCTAGAAACACACTTGTAAATTGGCATTTGGACAGCGCTCGCAAATTTTTGATGTGGATGCTCACACGCAGCTTCCCGTACTCTATATAAAGTTTTTCTCTTTTACGATAACCAGCCTGGCCGAATTCACGGGATAAAGCATCACTGGGCTACAACTGCTCCTTTGGCATTGGTCATTGACTTCGACGCAGTTATCGGTACCAACAACCAGGTCTATCCCACGATGTACTTCCAAATGAGGGGGATAACTGCTGGTGCAGAAATTTTATAACCACATCGCTAAAATTATTTGGTGACGAATTCCGAAGATGTGTGGGTCCTTTGACAAAAGCCACCCTACTTCCTGTATGGGATGCTCTACGCCTACTTTCATCGCGTAGATTATCCATTGCGAATGATGAAGAAACAACTTCAGATGGTTCGGTACCATTATCACGACGTGATGAGACGAGCGATAGTCGGAGCGGCACTTGCGCTTGTTTTGATGATGCGCAAACATTGTCGTGAGCTCCATGGGGGTATCGCAGCTCTACATACTGTAGGAAAAGGGGCTCGGGTGCTCTAATCGTGTGAAGGGGACATTCTTGGTAATCAGCTACGCTGCTTGTCTTCAGGTGATAGTGAAGGTGCTAAACTAGGACTCAGTGAATCGCTTCAACCCTTTTTAGCTAAGAACACTTCATTTTTTTTATTTTTCTCAAAGTAGTTCTTGTGCACTGTGCAGAAAGGACTACAAGTCGGCATTGGTAAATGCACAGAAATTGAATCCATACGCCTCCATCAGGAGCGGAAGTGAGAGTCTATCAAGTATATAGATATTTCAAAACTATTTTTGAAAAGTACGACATACAGATGTCTATTTAGGTTTAGTTAAATTTATACACTATCCGCAATGACAGACTTTACTCAACGCACAGCGCGATACCATTTTCCTGTAGCTCGTTTCTAACTGACTGGCGGTTCATTTAGCATCAGCCGCTTCCTTTATCATGCATTCCACTACTGTAGCAATCATACGTTCCGTATGATGGTGTCTTAATACTATATATATTTTTCTAGCATGATCAAGTATCATGTATGGATGAGTGTGATGGAACTAGGTTCATTATCCTGCTACATTTTACAGCGTTGATGATCGTGATAAACAAATCGCCTGGTTTGCATCACTAAGTTACGCGCAAATTTAAATATTCTGTTGTATCCGCTCGTTAGACCAGATTCATGAAAATTTATCCATTTGATCGACGCAAGACATGCCGCGCAATGCGTCTGGAACGCGATATACACAGTTTCTAGAAACTGCGAGACGCTGGTGCTGACCGGCGGCTGTTTCGAGTGTTTGATTATCGATCGCACAGAAAAGGCTCTATATTGCAAATTATCCGAGAGGCATGCCTCGAAATCAACATGCAGCATGATCGTGATGGAGCTGAAGCGATTCTCGTACTGAGCCGCGCCTACCCAACGCTCGAAAAGATCTCCCATTTCCCCCTCGTATTGATGGACTTGTTAAAAGTCAATGATACATCGCTGCACGCGATGCAGTCGCATTGCGTCTTGAGCAAGGTCTCGTGTTGTTGTTAGGCGAGATTTAATGGACAACTAGTGTGGCACTGTTGAGCTAAATAGGTGGGTGGTCCGATACGCTACCTCAGCGCAAAGTGCTGCAAATGTCAGATAAGAAGGAAGGTTTTGGTGGTCTGAAGGAAGTTTCCAAGTAAACGTATTATGCTTATAGCTAGCTAATTATGCAAATCGTTGGGAGTTTCATAACTCCTCCTGGTTTACTTAGGTACGACTTATCTTGTTTCCAACACTCCTCCCTCGGTGTGCTGTACATCGTCCACGAAACAACAAAGCGCGCGGATTTTCCAAGTTTAGTCGCCGACAAAGCCTTTGTCATCAAATCGGCCTTCATTTCTTCACTATGTACGTATTTCACCTCCAACATTTCGTTTCTGATGCGTTCTCGTGCATATTTATAGCGTATATCGACATGCTTGAGTTTAGATGTCCAAA